TTATTATTATTATTATTGTTATTATTATTATTTGCTTATTGCTTGTCTTTGTGCCAGGGGAAGAATTTTTCCCTTTAATAGGAACACTCAAATGTTGACATCATGTTCTGGTTTTTCTCTTACTTTCTAGAACGACACAAGAAAGAAAAGCCAAGAGAAATGGGTAAGCACACTCTTATTTTGTCTTCTGCACTACTCTAGAACATATGGGCATTAAAGGGATACTGACCATTTGTGTTCAATCTAGGCCTTAATCAAAATGTTTGAATCTTTTTCTTTCAGCCAAAGTATCAGAGAAAGCTGTGCATGTAAACAAAACTAGTAAGTGCCACATAAAAATGAATTTAGAAAATTGCACGTTTCTGTTTGAAGAATTGCTATAAATTAACATAACTCTATAAAGATGAGTGTTCTCTGAAACCAATGAATTAAAATGACTAACCTGGATAAAAGACTACATTGTGACCACTTCTGAGTATTGTGTTCAGAAGAACCTGCTGAATTAGGCTTCATTTTGAATATCAAATTAAACGTTTCAGTGACATCATTGGACATTCCAATACAGAAATATTTTTATCTTGCTCTTACTTCTAGAGCCACATAAGAAAGAAAAACCAGTAGAAATAGGTAAATATTCTCTTTTTTTTTCAATTTCCCTCCCTGTAGTACTGACATGGTGTACTGTTCAAAATTTATAATAACCTCAAACAATAATTTTAGCCAGGCTTTCAGAAAAAGATAAGTTTATCAAAGAATCTGTTAAAATCTGGATAAAAATAAATCTAGCAAAGTACACTTTCTGTAAGAGTGGAACGTTTGTGTGAGCTGGAACTTGACTTGAGTTACTACTAGTTGTGCAGGTTTAATATCTAGAAAAGAAAATAGTTGCTCATAAACATTACATTATAGGAATAGGCAGAGCTAGCTACATCCTACCAGGGGAAAAGTAAAAGAAAAATACATTCCCTGCTGATATTTCTGGAGCAAATGCAGAAGGAAGTAAACTCAGATTAGCAAGACTATAAAACAAACATCAGGCAGAATGAGATAGATAAAAGGGGGAGGCAAAACAAATCCTGAGTTATCTATGTGTATCCAGCTTCCCCCTCCTCCTCAGTAAGTGAAGATAAGCTGAAGAATCATTGCCATGGATTCATATCTTCCTTTCCACTAAGCACTTTCTACTTTTAGCATTTAATATAAGTTAACATAAGACAATGGAAATAGATGTGCTATATAGCTATAGGAAACATATAGAGAGTAAGAGAAATGACCTTGATAGTGGTAGGCAAACTCCATTGACAAGGTGACAAGGGATGAAACATTTTTTAAGGTCCAGAATATCTAGATAACATTTGGAAATGGCTCAGGCAGATGCGTCCCTAATTTACAGAGGAGGAGGAGGAGGAGGAGGAGGAGGAGGAACAGCACAATTAGATTTGCAAGATTCTGGTATTACAGTATAACCAATCTCAATCAAAGTAGTTTTAGCATCTGTGTGGAATTGTTTTCCTTGTTGGGCTTACCTGGAAAGGGTGAGAAGCAGCACTTTAAGTTCCAAAGTAAAATGGTTAATGAGAATCAAGTTGATGTAGTGCTTAAGAGGTTGAACTGGCAAGTCTATATTCAGCCATGGAGCCTGAGTGAATGACTTTGGGCCAGTCTATCTGTCTCAGCCCAACCAACCTCACAAGGTTGTTGTTGTGGGGAGAAATGGGAAGAAAGAATACTATTTATTACAATTACTCTAATGCTGAAATCATGCTCTGGTCTTCTTAATTTCTAGAAACACATATGAAAGAAAAGCCAATAAACATATGTAAGGATGTTCATGCTATCTAACCTTGCCCTCAGTGAAGCATATTGAAATACTATAATGTTTAAAGTTATAATATTCCAATATTTACACTTTTTATTTCAGCAAAGCTATCAAAGAAGGATGTGCATGTGAAAGAAACTGGTAAGCACAAGGGGGAAAAATCAATCTAGAAAATTAGAGGGGAGGGAGGGAGGGAGGGAGGGAGGGAAGAAGGAAGGAAGGAAGGAAGGAAGGAAGGAAGGAAGGAAGGAAGGAAGGAAGGAAGGAAGGAAGGATTTTTTAACACTTAGTATAATTAGTAAACTTGAGCTTGTTCTCTTGTCTTGGCTTCCCTGAAATATATTGATAGAACTGCCCAGAATACATGCAAACCCAATATTTTTGTTTTTCAGCACCCCAGCCCAAAAAGGATATCCTTATTCGGGAATCTGGTAAGATCTGATAAAAAAAATAAGTTTAAACACTGTATAAATCAACAGAAGACTATGGACATGTGTAAGATGTGACAAGTGAATAACCAGTGAAATAAAATGGCAGAAGGAAAGAATATAATGGTTATGGTATAATTGGGCTGGCATCGGAGAGATGCACATTTAGCTATAGAAACCATGGGGGAGTTTCAGGCAATTTCTTTCAGTCCAGTCAAGGGAATAGGGCTGTCACTATGGCAGAAACGGGAGGAATGGACACTATGCATTCCATAGGAAGAAAATGTGAAATATAAATCTAAAAAATAAAATAAATTCATGCATCTGTAAGACAGCCTTCACCAGTTGGAATCTGCCCATTCTCCAAGCCATGGAGAAAATTGCTTTCAAAGCGCCGTGTTGCTCTCCCTCCTTTAAGCAGAGGCACCGGAGATGAGATTGACCTCCACCTTGCTGAAATTCTGGAAAGTTGTTAAAAAGTGGCTCTTCTGGACAGCCTTTGGGGTGGATTAGTAGTTTGTGGTTGGCCAAAAGAAAGGTTGGCAATTTTGGATTATTTCTGGTTCTTTTGTGTCTTGTATATGAAGAATGTACTGCATTTCAATCCTATGGAAAGAGGTAGCTTAGTCACTGTAAATTGGAGATGGAACGAGGGAGGGTGTTTCAATCCCAGTTTTATTTTAATTGATGAATTGTGGAATTGTTGTATGTCTGTGATCTTGGTCTATCATTTCATTCTTTGTAATATATGGAATAAACACACTCTTTGCTGTAAAGACTCTGATGGAGAATCATGTTTTGTTCTTCTTCCTACTTCTTAGAATCACACAAAAAAGAAAAGCAAATAGAAATAGGTCAGTATGTTAATATTTTCTTTCTTTTACAACCACAAAACATGATGTTGGACATGGATATGGATTGTACATGTTCAAAACATAGAATAACTGAAATCTTTATATCTTCTTTTTTTAGCCAAAGTGCCAAAGAAACATGTGGATGTAAAGAAATCTGGTAAGACTGGGTAAAAAAGTATCTCAGAAATGGCACTGTTCCCTTTGAATGCTTAGTATAAATTAACAGAAGACTCTGGAAATGGATGTTACAAATTCTAAGTGACTATCTAGTAAAATAAAGCACAAAATATGAATAAAATATTATATTCTTCAAATTGTGGGTTACCTAGGCCTCATCCACACACAGTCCTATTGCTTTGGCTTTAAGGCAGTCTGCTTGTCCCTTCTTAAGGAGATATCCTCACAATGAACCTTGGTATTGGAGCCAGATTGTGGGGTATCTAGAAGAAATATTTCCTTGATTGCTGGCAGAGAAGCACTATCATGAAAACATGAAGGCACAGTATTTTAGTCCTATTACTGGAAGAAGGGATGGAAACTGTTCAGTCATATTCTCGATTTAGAACAGGGCTCTGCAAAGGCAAAAAAAAAGTCATGATACATCACAATACGTCATGTGATGCAATCGAGTTTGACACCCATGATTTAGAAGATATATAAGCCTTAAGAAGAAAAACACAGAAACAAATAAGCAAACATAATAAAGTGCATTCTGCCAACTGAATCCAGAATCTATTCAATCCCAGATTAGTTTTGTTTGTGGAATTAAAGTGCTCTCAGTCTATAACTTGATTCTACATTAAGTATTAAATTATAGACTGTTTATTTTGAAAATTTGAATGCCAAAATCATGGTCTCCCTCTTACTTTCTAGAAGCAGACAAGAAAGAAAAACCAATAAAAACAGGTAAGCATAGTCTTATTTTTCCACCTATGCTTACCTGAAAGATGTGTTACAGGTACTGATTATCCAGATTCCACATTTATAATCATCTTTTCATTTTAGCCAAGCTGCCAAAGAAGGCCGTGTATGCAAACAAAACTGGTAAGATCTGAGAAAAAAATAAATATGGAGTATTCCATTTTATACCCTCAAAATTTAATTAAAACTACAGAAATTAGTGTTCCATAAGTAAAGTGAAATAAAACATCAAGCATAGACAGGAAACTATATTCTGTCCAATGAGATTATCTGGCCAGACGTTCATTTTCTACTTGTTGTTTTAAATGTGGATTTAAAAGACTTGCTGACTTAAAATAATCTCTATGATTTTAATCTATTTAATGTATGGAATTGTACGCACACCCCCTACTTTTATTTTGTATCTGGAAATGCAGAAATCATATTATGATCGTCCTCTTATTTTCTAGAAACACATAAGAAAGAAAAGCCAATAGAAACTGGTAAGTATGTTGCCATTGTACCTCCTTTACTTCCCTGAAGCAAATGATATGGGAGAGTTGTCCAACATTTATAATAACTCAGTACGTATATACTTTTATTTTAGCCATACTGCTAAAGAAGAATATCCATGTAAAATGTAGTATATCCATGTAGTATAAACAAGTTATTAATGTTTATAATAACTTAGTATTTATATCTCTTTATTATAGCCAAGCTGCTAAAGAGTGATGTGCACATAAAAGAAACTGGTAAGGGCTGAGTAAAACCATTCTAGCACATACTTACAACCTTCAATTCCTTCTATAAATTAACCCAAGATTATCAACAAGAGTTTGCCTTGAAAATGTGCCTGATTGAAGAAATCAAATGATGAGGATGGATAATAGCAATAGCAATAGCACTTAGATTTATATACCGCTTCACAGTGCTTTACAACCCTCTCTAGGTGGTTTATAGAGTCAGCACATTGCCCCCAACAATCTGGGTCCTCATTTTACTGACCTGGAAAGGTTGGAAGGCTGAGTCAACCTTGAGCCAGTGAGACTCGAACTGCCGAACTGCAGGCAGCCGACACTCAACAGAAGTACCCTGCAGTACTGCCTCTAACTACTGCACCATCACAGCTCAAAGAGGGATAATAGAGTGCCTTCTGCCCATTCTTGGCTTCCTAGCACTCACCCTGCTTCAAGATCGTTTGCTTACCATTGCTTGAAGATATGTCCTCACATAAGATGCTTCAGCTTAGGGTTTGTTTGCTGCTGGATTTTTTCCAAGTGATCCACCCATAATGTGGTATTTTTCCATCAGAAAACAGAAGCAGACCTCCTATATGACTGAGTTGCCCAAAGGAGTCTCTAGAGTTGATGAAGTGCTATATTCCAGTTATCTCACAAGAGGATCAAACCATCCCATTTGGCCATGAATTCTTGTGAATCCAATGTCATTTTAACTGTGGCTACTAGAAAACTAGTATCTCCTGTTTGGAGGTTGGCCTTGCTTCTGTATGGCTGGTAGGCCTTATTTGGAATATTGAACTCATTAATAATCAATACTGGGTTTTCCCTAAGTTTATTATTCCTATCTATAACCTCCATGGCAGCTTTAGCAAGACACTGCATGACCTCCCCCTCCTGTTGATCTGAGCCTTTCTTCCTTTTTTACCTTTTCCTTCCTCTTTGCCTGTATCCTTCTCACATCTCAGCCAAGTATGGACCCTTCCTTATACTTAGTCCTCTTCCCTTAAACCCATTTCTCTTAAATCTCTGCTCATGGGAGAACTGTACTATCATATCTGAGAGCAGCAGAACAGGAAGAGGAGGTAACTACTGTACTTATGCAAAATAAGTAACCTTCTCTCTTTTTACATCAGTGCCCCAAATGTTTGTAATATATTGAATAATCTCACACTATGCAATGAACACTAAATACAGAAATTATATTCTTGTCTTCCTCTTCCTTTTGAGAATCACACAAGAAAAGAAAGTTGGCAGAAACGGGTAAGTATGCACCTGTGTTTAATCTTTGCTTCCCAGAAACACATAGATATGGGTAACCTAGGTTCCAAATTTTATCATAATTAAAATGCTTAATCTTTTTATTTTAGCCAAGCTGCCAAAGAAGGATATTCATGTAAAAGAATCTGGTAAGACCTGGGTAAAAACATATCCATGAAATTACATGTTTCACTTTGAACATTTACTGTAACTGTCTTACTTAACTATAAAACACTCCATAATGTTCTGGTCTCTGATTTTCTAGAAACAGTTAACTATGTTCTTATTCTTTCCCCTCTGCTTCTCTGAAACATATCAATGTAATATGCCAGTGGTGGCGAACCTATGGCACGGGTGCCAGAGGCGGCACTCAGAGCCCTCTCTGTGGGCACACACACCGCCACTAGCAGCTCGCCAGGTCCATTAGGCCGCCGCCCAGAGCAGCAGCCCCACCCAGCACAAAGCAGGCAAAATGGCTGGCTAGCAAGCTCGAATAGAGATGTTAGAGCATCGAGGTGGCCACGCCTACCTGGCCACACCCACACAGTCTGCTGTGACCACACTGGCCACGCACACCCAGTGGGCCACACACATCGTCCTCCCTGAGGGAACCACAATGCTGATGTGGCCCTGGCACTTTGCAATAAATAAGTGGGTTTTGGGTTGCGGTTTGGGCACTCGGTCTCTAAAAGTTTCGCTATCACTGTAATATGCTCTTCAAACTTTATAATATACCAATATTTAAAAGCATTTATTTTAACCAAGCTGTGAAAGAAGGATATGCATGTTAAAAGATCCAGTAAGACATGAGTAAGCTCAAATGTAGAAATTACTTTGAACATTTAGTATATAGCATAACACAAGGTTATGGGAATGAATGTGCAATTAAAAAAATTAACTAAGAAGGTAAATAAAATAGCTCCTTTCCATCCTTCTGTTCCTCTTCCCTCTGCTGCCATTTCCTTTAATTGGCAGAATAGAAGGAACAAACCATTGTCTTTGTGCCAGGGGCAGAACCTTTCCCTCCCAACTCCCAAATGTTGACATCATTGTCTGGTTTTCCTCTTACTTTCTAGAACTCCACAAGAAAGAAAAGCCAAGAGAAATGGGTAAGCATTCCTTTATTGTGTCACCTCTGAAACACATCAGCATTAAATGGATATTGATTATCTGTGTTCAATCTATGTCATAGTCAAAATGTTTGATTTTTGTTTTTAGCCAAAGTGTCAAAGAAAGATGTGCATGTAAATAAAACTGGTAAGTGCTATGTAAAATTATGCCTAGAAAATCCCATTTTCCATTCTGGACAATTACTGTGTAAACACATGCTGTGGAAATGAATGTGCCATAAAACTAGTGAATTATACTGAATTAAAATTGCAAAATTGGATGATAAATCTCATTCTGCCCGCCTTGGGTTTTCTAGTCAAAAGACTCCACTCAGTCTATGCTTCATTTTAACTGTCAAATTAAAAGACTCTCTTAACTTGAAGGGATTTTAGTCTATGATATAATTCTGTGTAGAATGTCACCTACTGCTTGCTATAAACAACCAAATGTAGAAGTAATTTTCTGGTCTTCTTCTTACTTTCTAGAAGCAAAAAAGAAAGAAAAACCAATAGAAACAGGTAAGCATGCTCCTATTTTCCCACCTATGCTTACCTGAAAGATTTGTTTCAAAAACTCATTACCAAATTCAGCATTTATAATAATCAATATATTTATCCCTTTTCATTTTAGCCAAGCTGCAAAAGAAAGCTGTGTATGCAAACCAAACGGGTAAGGCCTCAGGGGGGAAAACCTGAGAAATTCAACTTCCCATTTTGAAAATTAACAAAAAACTTATCTGACCAGAACGTTCTTGTCAACTCTGCTTTCTTTTAATTATGGAATTAAGTCAGATCACTAAAGTAATCTCACTCTATGATTTTAACATGTTTAATGTATGGGATTATATTTATTTTGTACTCTGAAATGCAGAAATCATATTCTGATTTTCCTCTTATTTTCTAGTAACACATAAGAAAGAAAAGCCAATAGAAATAGGTAAGTATGTTGTCCTTGTACCTCCTTTATTTTCCTGAAGCAAATGATATGGTAGAGTTGTCCAACATTTACAATAACTCAGTATGTATGTACTTTTATTTTAGCCAAACTGCTAAAGAAGAATATCCATGGAAAAGAATCTGGTAAGTTTTGGGTAAAAACAAATCAGCAATTTACATTTCCCATCAGTTAACACAATATTATTGAGATGTTTTTGCTTTGAAGAAGTCAAATGATGAGGATGGATAATTGAGTGCTTTCTGTCCACTCTTGGTCTCTTAACACTCATTCCTTGCTCTGCTCCAACATAATTTGCTTGCTGTTGCTTGAAGATATGTGTTCACATGAGGTGCTTCATGTTTGCTTGCTGCTGAGGCAGGCTGGAATTCTTACAAGTGATCTCAGGAGGCAAACTGTTGGATTTCAGTTATCCCACAACAGGACCAAATCATCGGACCAGGAGTTTTTGTGAATCTAATGTCATTATAACTGTGGCTACTAGAGAACTAGATCTCTCCTATTTGGAGATTGTCCTTGCTTCTGTCTAGCTGGTAGGCTTTGTTTGGAATATTGAACTCATAAATCACCAACACTAGTGAATAATCCCTAAGTTCATTATTTCTGTCTATTACCTCCATGGCAGTCTTGATAAGACACTGCACGACCCCTCCTGAACCTCTTTTCCATGACCCACCTTTTATTTCTTCTTTGCCTGTTTCCTTCCCACATCCTAGCCAAGTGTGGACCCTTCCTTATACTTATTCTTCTTCCCCCAAAACTCATTTCTCTTAAATCTCTCATTATGAGAAAGCTTTACTGTCATATCTGACAGCAGCAAAAGTAGGAGGAGAGGCAACCACTGTTTTTCCACCAGTGGGAAGATCTCTGAATGAATAGATAATAAAGTACAGTCTGCCAAACTTGAGTTATCTAGTCAGAGCAGTCCCTTCAATCCCAATTTAGTTTCAATTGGGGAATTATTATTTTTTTTTGCCTCTAAGTACCTTCAGTCCATCATTTGCTTCTCTGTTATGTATTAAATTATACACTGTTCATTTTGAATACCCAAATGCGGAATTCATATTTTTGACCTTCCTCTTACTTTTTAGAGGCAGACAAGAAAGAAAAGCCAATTGAAATAGGTAAGCATGCTCTTATTTTCCTGAAATAACCTTACCTGAAAGATGTGTTATGCATACTTAGAATCCATATTTAGCATTTACAATAATTAATCTATTTAAATCTTTTTATTTTAGCCAAGCTGTCCAAGAAGGCTGTGCAAGCAAGCAAACCTGGTAAGACTTGAGAAAGAATAAAGTTGGGAAATTGCACTTTTCATCTTGAAAATTAAGAAAAGATTTCAGAAATGAGTGTTTCATAAGAGTAGTTAATTGCTGAAAATAAACCATCACATGTAGAAAGAATCATTCAATTAAAAATCATTTTATTGTCTGTTTTCTAGAAACACACAAGAAGGAAAGGCCAATAGAAATTGGTAAGTATGCTATCCATGTCCTATTTTTAGTTCCCTGTTTAAAGTTTATAATAACCCCAAATTTGTATTATTTAATTTTAGCCAAGCTGCCGAAGAAGGATATTCATGTAAAAGAATCTGGTAAGATCTTAGCAAAATAAAAAAAGTAAAAATGCCCACAATGAGTTATCTAGGATCATCATCTTCAGGTCTTTCTCTCACTTTATAGAACCAGATAAGAAAGAAAAGTCAATACAAATAGGTAAGCACTCTTTTATTTTCTAAATTTTGCTTCCTGAAACAAATGGTTATGATAAAAATATTATCTCTGTATAAAATGTATTATAACCAAAATACTTATTTATTTTTTTTAGCCAAGCCGCCTAAGAAGGATGTGCATATAAAGGAATCTGGTAGGATCTGGGCAAAAACACATCTATGTATGAATTTGTATTTTCCAGTTTTGAGCACTTACTTTTAAGTGAAATAAAATTAAGGGCATGTAACGTAGTATACATTTTGAACATGGTGGCCTCATCCATACAGCCCCATTGCTATAGATTCAATATAGTCTATTTACTGTTTGTAGAGGATATATTTTCACTTAAGGGTCCTCCATCTCAGAGTGAGCTTGCAATTGAGAAATGGTGAATTTGCTCCAGGCAATCTAGCCAGACCTTAATCTTTCCCATCAGAAAACAGAAGTAGACCTCTTCCATAATCATTCTGCGTTGCCTAGAGATAGATTCTCTAATGTTGGCAAGCCACTGGGTTTCATTATCCCACAAATGGACCGAACCATCCCCTCCCATCCATCATGAATTGTGACTATCAAGGAGATGAAATCCCTCCAATGTGCAGCTTGCCTTTCCTTTGGGGGGGGGGGTGAGAGTAGGGTCAGTTTAAGAGGATCTGGAATTTGTGGAAGACCACATCTGGTCCTTCCCAAGGTTGCTGTTCCCACCAATAAGCCCTGCAAAACCTAATAGACACTGCACAGTTGATGGCACCTCTCATCATGCCACCTTAACCTCTCTTCCCTCATCCACTTCATAATTCTCCTTCTCTGCCAGCCTGGCTCTCTGAGTCACATGAAGCCTTCCAGCCAAGTCCAGATCCTTTCCCTACCTGTTTATCTTTCTTCCATGGCCATTTCTGTTACCTCTGCCTTTGCTACTGCATCTGATAGCAGCAGCAGGTAACCCCAAGGGAACAAGAGGGAACTATGGGCCTTCAAATGGAGAAATAATGCTCTGGTTTTCCTCTTCCAGAACTGCATAAGAAAGGAAAGCCAGTGGAAACAGGTGAAAATGTTTTTATTTTCTTATCCTTCCCTGAAACGTATGGTTTTCTGATAAAGATATTGATTATCCAGGTTCAACATTTACAATAACAAAAATGTTTCGCTGTTTTTATTTTAGCCAAAGGAGGATATGCATGTAAATAAAGCTGGCAAGTCCTTTGTAAAAATAAACTCAGAAAATGGCACTTTTTACTTTTAACAGCCAGTATACATTAAGGCAAGCCTGTGGAAATCAGCATGCCATTTAACAGATGAGTGAAAAGTTAAATTTTTAAAAGGTGACTTGGATAACAGATTATATTCTGCTCCCTGCAGGATATCTCTGAAATTACATTGTATATCCCTGTAAAAAATNCAACTCATCTGGGTCCAGGGAAGGCTTCTTGAGGAGGGGCCTCACCACGGCCTCCTTTAAGGCCGCCGGGAAGACACCCTCCTGCAAAGAAGCGTTGACAATTCCCTGGAACCAGGCTCGTGTCCCCTCCCGAGCTGCCAGTACCAGCCAGGAGGGACACGGATCTAATAAACATGTGGTTGCATTCAGCCTCCCCAGGGCCCTGTCCACATCTTCAGGATACTAGATTGTGTGTCTGGCAATCTAGTATTCTTCAGCCAGAGTAGTTCTAGCAAATTAACTTTTATAAAACTTATTATTCTTCAGGCAAACTATGCAAATGCACATATAATATTTGATGTACTGAGTATCTTAACTCTCTCCAATCTTAATAAGCCATTTTGAAATGAAAGATTTATCTTTTGCTCAATTTTGTGTGTTTGTGTGTGTGTGTGTGTGACACACACTTGACAGAAGGAGAACTTTTTTTTTGATGCTGCAAGATATGACTGTATCTCAGTAAGTTGGAGGGAGGAAGAACTTTGCTCATGAATACTACTATAGACCTGATAACATCATCAATTCAAGAAGCACAACTGTTATTGCATTGTCCTGCTGAGGCAAACATTTCTCAATTTCATATAAGTGGATGGAAATGCATAACACAACATACTATTTTATTAGTAATTCTGTTCTCATATATGAAATGTGTAAACTGTTCTGAGGATGCAATTCCTTTATCATTAAAATAAATATCAGGGTGTTCTCCAAATATTTTTTTCAAAGTGTTGCTATATTTTATAGTAGTGCTTTATTATCGTGCATCAAAAATATGTGGATGATCTATATACTAAGCAAAGACTAAGTACGTGAATACTTTATCACATATTGGATCTTGGAGATCACATTTGGGAAAAAGAACTAGCCGATCTGCCTCATAGCCTTCCTATACAGAGACTGTGTGGTGCCGCCCCACAAGTGGGCATCTTTTTGAGAGTGGCAGAGGCTCATTTTGTGCCATTCTGGAGTGATCCAAATTGTGACCACTCCCAAAATGCTTCCCGCTCTCAGGACAGCAACACATGGCCTCTGTATAGGAAAGCCACATGGCAAATTGACTGGTTCTTCTTCCCAAAGGTGATCTTCAGAAAAAGTAAGTGAAGTGAGGCATAATGGTGGAGTGGAGGAGGCCCAAGGCCTGTGAAGACCCAGCCATTTGGGAGGTAAGCCCAAAGGACCCAGCAGGGCAGGATTGGGGAAAAATAGACAAGTGAGGGTCTCTACAGCATTCCTACAGTTGATCGTAAGGGCAGGCAGATTGCCAAGTGCTAGAATTTTGTTCACAGGACCACAGGGGCCCTCATCAGCTGTAAATTCAGATACAGGTTATAATCTCTTTGTTCAGTGCTATCATAATTTCAGATGGTCTCTGAACAAACATTCATAAATCAAGGACTACTTGTAAGTCCCCTTGGGAATGAATGGTGCTTTTGTTTTTGGCATATTCATCATTGGGGAAGAAGTCATTATTAATCAAGATGACAGAAAAACCTCTGCATTTTTGAAGCACTGAATCTACTCTTCAGTCCTAATCCAACAAAAAAGTTTTAGCATGTAAGAAAAGTTTATGCTGCCACTTAACCTCTCTAGGCGAGAAGAAGGCAATGCATGCATTTGATCACCTGCCACATGCTGAAAAATATAAAGAAGGATGCCAGGTCTAATTCTGGAAGACTTCTATTTCTGCCCACTAACCATTCATCGACACTGCCGCTGGGAGCTGTAAACACTTTTCAGGCATGGCAGAAGCTGTGAGAATACCATGTAACAACAACGTTTCCATAAATATTATTTTTATGTTTTTATTTTTGTCTTGTAGTTATTCAATAAACTCAAATATCCATGTATATTTCAAAACTGTGCAATCTTAAACCATCTCATGATGATGGATGCAGCTACCCCATGTGGTGCCAGGCAATTGTTCTGTCTACAGTAGCAGTGCTGCTCCGGGGTTTCAGGAAAACATGTTATCAGTTCTTCTTTTTAGAATGCTCATTATGTATTTCCTTGTGCTCCAGATCCCCACTAAACAGTCTTCAAGTAATTAGATCAAGTTCTGTTGGGAGAATCCACTTTTGTTAGGATCTTTCTGGAAAACCTTAAAAACATTTTTCAATCTTCTTCAGGAAAGAAAAGAGTACTATGAAATAACAGAAATGTGTTTGTTTTTGTTTTACACCAAGGGGATCACTGATTCAAAAACATCTTTCTCTTCTCCTACCAGATTCATTCTTAGTTGCTTTTTTAAAATAATTGAAAATATTGCTTCTTTCTACATGGCTACATATTGGATTTCTCATGAGGATTTTATTATTTCTTAGGCTTTTAAAGTGTTTGTGCTGTTTTTAGATTGGGTAGCTACCACTTGGGATATCTGTGGTAATATATACAAATAAATGTGTGTTGTAAGAATTTTGAGGTTCTGTATAGTGTTCAGAATATTTTCTTACTTTATTTACAGCTGTTGGAGGAACTCATAAGCCAAAAGGTCAGGAATATTATTTCCTTTTTAAAATTTATGTACTTATATAGAGAATACTTTGCAGCCTGATCCCTAGCCAGTTTTCAGAGATGAGTTGTAGAGCCCTTCGTTCAGTTCAATAATTCTGAGAGCTGGGTTTGTAATGTCTCAGGAGATCGTACACTTCTCTTTCACACAATAACAGTTAGTCGTTACTGCTTTTTTTATTAAAAGTGTTTTCAGTCATGAACTATCACTTGAATTAAACTAACTAACATTTTATTAGTTTTATTTCATTTATTATAAATTTGTATAGGTCCCTAACTCACACATAGGTGACTCCTTTTTTAAAAGAGCTTTTCTTTTTTATATAAATGATAAATTAACATAATTTGTGATTCCTTTTTTGAAAAAAAGACTATGGCTTAGACCTATTATGACTTTGGAATTCAAAACATACTTAATTATTTATCTATACCCTGCCTTTATTATTTTTATAAATATATCAAGGCAGAGAACATATATAATACTCCTTCCTCCTCTTATTTTCCCCTCAACAACATCCTTGTGGGGGGGGGGTGTGGAGCTGAGAGAGAGTGACTGGTCACCCAGCTGGCTTTCATGATTAAGGTGGGACTAGAAGTCGCAGTCTCCTAGTTTCTAGCCTGGTGCCTTAAGCAACATGATTTGTCTTCTGTTCAATCTGTGCTTCAATTAGCTTATACAGTGGTACCTTTGTATCTGTCAGTGGTATCTTGGTATCTGTTCCAGAAGACATGACAAATATTAAAATTGACAAGTACCGAGAAAACCACGTGACTTACCACGTGACCCACTATTTTGGCCAGAAGAAATAGCAAGTCACAAGGCAGCTGACCTTGCATGTCAAATACTGGGAGGAAGACGAGTGCTGGGACAAGATTCCTGCTGCAAAACGCATTGAATATTGAATTTGATGAATTTTGAAGTAGTTGAGTGCCTGTATCCTAAATCTGCAGAAGCTTTCTTCAGGAGCTGCACATTCTTTTCCTTTACAGGGGAATTTAAAGAATTATTTGTTTATCTATAAGATGAAACTTCAGCTTACAATATCATTAAATCAGACATACCATGGTTAACAATTGATTGGTAAAACTGTGGGTAGTTTAGGATTCAGGTAGCAAGCCAAATGCAATTAAGAATAGCAACAGATGCTTCTAGTTTATTTCTCACAGCCATTTCAAGGAAGATAACCTCTCAATCTAGGTGCCTTTCATCTTTGATACACTATGCTTTTCTCCCACTAACTCCCACTAACTAACTAGGATAGACATCCAGATAAATGTATTCAGGTTGATCAATTTACTATAGGATTTTATATTATTTTAATGATAGGACTACTTACAACCCAGTTTCTAAGTTCTGGTAGCTGGGGCCCCCACAGTCATGTGACCACATTTTGGGTTCTTTGTAACCAGCTCATATTTATGGCTGTTTGCAGCATCTGGCAGTCATATGGCCATGATTTACAATATATTTTTTTTGCTGGAAACTGGCATTTATTTCGGGTTTCCAGCAAAAAATTGCAGACAATGGATTCGCTTAAGGACCGCCACAAAAAAGATTGTAAAATTGATCATGGTCAGGTGATGACCCACTTAACAATCAGCATGATTTATGACTATAATTCTGGGCTCAATTATGGTCAAAAATTGAAGACTACCTGTATCGTGTTCTTTTTTCTCTTTGTCATTCTACAAGATTATAATCTACATGTAGATTGCTTAGGAGACACAAATATAATGTTATTGCATAATTTTAAATTATCTGTTATGATCTAATCAATATGTAAAAATGTCACTTCAAATAAGCAGCAGAGATTTAATGCTTTTTCAAAAGGCCTTGTTTGCATAAACCATTCTCTTTGAGACTAGCTATGTTACATGTCCCTTATCTTTGCTTTGCAGCATTACACGAAAAGAAAGAAGAAAGACCTAGCAAGGCAGAAGAACAAGGTAAAAAAAAGAAACTCAGCGAAGCTGATATGTTCTAAAACAAGTGTCAGAGCTATTTTAAAAAATACACATTTCATATTTCAAGAAATGGACAACCTTGAATTTGTCTCTTTTAACTATCTTGGTGAGTAGTCTTTTCAACCTGTCTGGGAAACATCATTCTGACAGAATTCAGTTTGTATATATCCAAACGCAGAGACAAAATGTAACAATTTATCTAGACATGTCATCTTTTGTGGCCTAAATTATTTTAACTGGCTTGATTTGTGGCATAAAGGCTTTAAGTGGAGATGAACATTCTATGGGCCAGGCATTATTCTTTATGTTTTAACAATACCTGACCATTTTTTGTGGATCTTTAAAGACATTGCATTGCATAGAGGTAGTTCCAGCCATTAATTTAATGGCCATTTGAAGTAACAATTTTTCCAGATGCCTTCCAACAAGCAAAATCAATGGGGGAGGGTCATAAAATTGGGCCCGACTCACTTAATAATCACTTTGCTTAGCAATGAAAATTCTATTTCCAGTAATGGTCATAAGTCAAGGACTACCTGTACTGTGAGGCAAATGTAGGTATAGAACAGGGGTGTAAACTCAATTTCATTGAGGGCTGCATCAGCATTGCGGTTGCCCTCGGGGGGCCGGGTGGGTTTGGCCAGGGTGAGTGCAGCCTACTGGGTGGGCATGGATGGAGTGGGTGTGGTCTACTGGGTGAGTGTGGCCAGATCTACATTGTTCGCGTCAAGGGTGCCTGTGGGGGCCTGGACAGGAGTGGGACAGATCTGAGGGTCTCTGGCAGAATGGGGTGGGACCAGGGCAAGTGCCAAGGCATGGTCCACTGGAGGAGCCTCACTGTTCCTCTCAGGCCAGGCAGGGGGGGCTGGATGGTGGCACGGGCTTCCCGGAGCCCTGGGCAGCAGAGGTCAAACGCCCAGCCTGGCCCTCGAGCACCTGCGGCACCAAGCTGTTTCCAGATGGCCTTATGGAGCTAAGACTGAATACATTTCAGCATAGATGGCCACCACAAAATTGTACATTGGCTCCCGGCTGGCCTGGGCCAGGGCCAGGGCCAAGGCAGCGGGGGCTGTTCTCTCACTGTTTCCAGGATGGCTTCGCAGGCCACATGAAACCAGCCTTGTGTTTGACATGTCTGGTATAGAATGTGGACTTCAGCATGTTTCCATTCAAATAGCCAGATCAGCATACAGGTTTTAATATAGAAAAAGTTACAGAATTGATATAAAGGAAAACTCTGTATAAAATGAAGATTTATATAAAGTGGATATTTAAATAACTTAAATAAATTTCAACATCAGGCATTGTTTCTTTGAATGCTACAGTACAGTTTCTTCTTTTTCCTTCTGGGTACAGTTAATTTTGCGTCCTATAGTTTTGTCCCCGTTAGTACTTAGTTACCAGTTAAAATCATGATGCCTTTAAAAAGTCGTAGGTAAAATTCAATTGCTGGGCTTTTCTATAGAAAATCTGTGCTCCTTAGGTTTTGATAATGCTACAAATGCCCTTAAGCAATGAATGTTGTTTGTTTGGAGACATAGATCTCCAAACAAATTTAAGTAAGGTGTCACATCCCAATATTTATCATTTGCTTCCAAAGGATTTGTTCCAGTCTCCTATTTAATCATCTATTTCAGTTTTGAAATTTCATAAGGGTAGACCTCAGCAGTCCTTTTGGGATGTTTTAAGAACAGTCCTATGTACCTTCAGTTATGTTCATGTGGAGATGAAGCAATAAAAACTAAACCATATGATACTATATTGTTCCCTGTATAAGGATTCTAGCTAGATCCTTATATATCTTATCTTGAAGAAATATTAAGGCATTAAGTATTAAAGTCATGTGATTTCTCTTTAATTTCTTTTGGACAAGGACTGAAAATAGTCCCCAAGTTGCACAATTCTTCCTTTTTTTTTTAATTCTACAATACTTATTTTCCCCCGTTATACAGTTATGTAGAAAGATATAATGCTTCTATTATGAGATATTTTGTTTGTATCTGCCCTTGGGGCTATAATAAATTTGATTGGATTTGATATAAATATCTAAAGTTAATATTAAAGTTAATATTTATTATATAAAAAATATAAAGTCAATATTTATTTATTTATTTATTTAATATTTATTCCAAATAACTCAAACTAAATGACACAGAGTCCTAAACATATGAGAGAATGAAAAAAAATAGTTTCAACATTTTTGATGTGCTTATTCATGACATTTTTGTAATTTGCACTATTTCTCTTACCTTTAAAAAGTGTTACCTTAAATATTTCATGGAATGATAATGACAAGCTTAGAGGGGATCAAATCATTAAAGTTCTTTTGCTATCATACAATAAGATTTTAAATATAGCAGAATAATGTAAAATTGTAGTATCTCTTGTGAAAATGGCCTTAGTGATGTAGGCAAGCATATCTTTGTCCATGTCCAAAATTAGCTGACTCTTTAGATGTTTAAGCTGAACACTTAGAAACACTTAGAAATTATTAATGTTTTCTTTTACTCCTAAGTATTTAAGGCAGTGTTTCTCAACCTTGGCAACTTTCAGATGTGCTGACTTCAATTCCCAGCATGCTGACTGGGAAAATCCACATGTCTCAAAATTGCCAAGGTTGAGAAACACCAATTTAAGGAATACTTGAGTAGTTTCATTCCCATGTTTCTTTTTAACCTTTCTGATTCTGTCCCATGGACATCTGCAGGGACTTCCTGCTTTTATCAAAATGATGAAAGCAGCATTGCAGTGTTATGCTGCAAACTCTGCCCCTTTTTTAAAATATCATGCATTGTCATGATGTCCACACAAACCAGGCAGATCTTTGTGTCATGATGCTACAACCCTGCCTTCATCATTCTGCTTTGTCTCCTTTCTGCCTCTCCCTCAATAAAAGACAACTGTTTCTCTGGGAAAAGTGAGAAGAGAAATGTAGCCAACTCAGCCCCGTGAACATAACCCTTCACATGAAGTCAATGAGAGAGTTGAGTTGTCTTCATTCTTTTCTGGGGCTACACAATGTGACGTTTATATACACACTGTCTCAAATTGTCAGCTGGAAGTGTTTGTGGAAGCCGGATAAATATAAGCAAAGACTCCATCAATTCAGAAGCGATTTCTGGGTCAAGTATATTTGCAGGCAGAAATACTGAATTGGTTTGTGATTGCCCTTTTTATGGGGGTATTTGTTCAACTTCCAAGTCTGTTTGAGAATTTGAAATTCCTGGTTATCTTCCATGAAAGTATTAATATGGTCCCAACAACTACTTACTTTTCTTGAGATCACTCTTAGTCAGGAAAATGCTGCCACTTGTTATACAGTAGGTAAAAGATATCAGCTGCAGTATTAACCCCCAAAGGTCCAGAGGTAGCATCTGAAGCTTTGTTCATGCCTTCAAAGAAGAGTAGCCATAAAGTTAAGATTTCTATTTGCAGCAGGGGATTCTAAATTTTTTCATTAGCTTCCCTTTCAGACCTTTCATGCTGGAGGCAATGAGAAGGCATGGACCCGGGCATTTGTTTATACATGGATCTCTTCCTCATAGAGACAGAGAAGAAATCCATATGTAAACATTTATAATTTACACCTTTAGGCCAGTAGATAAACTTAATGCAATTGCCTTTCCTTTCTCCCATTTCTGCAAATTTTATTACCATGAGGGGTCCTTGGTGCTTTCTGAGCTTGGATGTTTTCTTGCAGACGTTTCATTACCCAAACTAGGTTAACGTCATCAGTGTTAATAAGGAATAGGATTTGCTCTCAGTTCATATTCTAGTGGCTATATATACATATACAAATATTCTTCTTTATTAATTTTGTGATCATTTGCTAATTTAGAATATTTTAAAGAGATGCAGGTCCTTAAGTAAAGTACCTGTAAAATGCAAATATTAGAGAAAAATATTTACTAGTATATGTACATTAGGGGAAGAGCAAAGAATATGCATACAAAAATCCATACTGACCTTTTAAAATGTAAATAGATGGAAAAAGATATTTAAATTAAGATGGAAAAATGCACATTTTTGACAGTTTCATCTCTCCCTGGTCTTTTTCCCTCCACATTTCCCTCCACAAGCCTTCTTAGGAAACATGAGTAGCATGCTTCAAACACATCTTGTATTTAGGTCAATTAGAATAGAATAGAATAGAATAGAATAGAATAGAATAGAATAGAATAGAATAGAGCTGGAAGGAACCTTAGAGGTCTTCTAGTCCATCCCCCTGCTCAAGCAGGAGAACCTATACCATTTCAGACAAGTGACAGTCTAGTGTCTTCTTAAAAATCTGATTTCTGGGGGTAAGCTGTTCCACTGGTTAATTGTCCTCACTGTTAGGAAGTTTCTCTTTAATTTCAAGTTGCTTCTCTCTCTGATCAGTTTCCAACCATTGTTTCTTGTCCTGGTCTCTGGTGCTTTGGAGAATATTTTGACCCCCTCTTCTTTGTGGCAGCCCCTCAAATACTGGAATACTGATATCATGTCACACCTGTTTCTTCTTTTCTTTAGACCAGCCAAACCCAAGTCCTGCAGCAGTTATTCATATGTTTTAGTCTCCAGGCCTTTGATTGTCTTAGTGATTCAAAGTATCTTTTCATTTTAAAGCTGGTTTTCTGAAGGAAAGCACTAATAACAGAAACAAAAGAATAGGAGAACAGAGATTTTGGCTGCTTTCCATTTCAAGGGATATATCCTTGGTTAATGTTAAGCAGTGCTTTTTTTCTAAAAAAAAAAAAAGGTGCTGGAACTCACACATGTCATATAACCTGCCTTGCCTACCCTACAAGGTTCCATCCAAAAAAGGTGCTGGAACTCCGTTCTGGGCGTTCTACGAGAAAAAAAGCCCTGATGTTAAGAATTGATCAGGCACCTCATTCATCTTTTCAGCTGAATGAAATAAGTCAAAAGTTGTTTTGTTGTGGGTTCCACTGATTCAGAAGCTTTTTCAAAAGTTGGCTAAGAAAGAAATCTTCATCTACTTTGCTATTTGTAAGTGAAATGCCACTCTGAACTCTTTTTTTTTGCACATGCAAATAGACTTTTAATCTGATGAATTTTACCTCTTAATTTCAATAAATGTAATTCTTCATTCTAATCATATAGTGTTAGCTACTATATGAGAAAATAAGGGATTATTATTTTTTCTCATTTCTTCTTCTGCAGATAAATCAGACTCCAAAGAATCAAGTAAAGTGTGTCACAGTATGTATATACTTTGTGGATATGATAAATTATCTGACAGTTTATCCATGAATAATATTTCTCCTTGTTTTCCTTATTTTAAAGTATTACAAGATCATTTCAAATCTTCATTTAGAATAAAAGTTGTTTTTTTTTAAAAAAAAATAGCCCACTATGCTTTCCAAGTGAACAATTAAAGAAACAAGAAATGATGAATGTGGCACAATTAATCATATATTAGATTGCACAATGTCAATATTATTGAATTTTACTGTTTTATTATTTTGAGCTCAGTTATAATTTCCACAGCATAGCAGTGACTGCACAATACTTTGTATGACAGAAAATATCAATCCTGGTCATAGTTTTATTAATGTGTCGATTTATTCATTATTTGTAGGTATGTATTTTATATTAGTGGTGCTGTACTTTCAGTTTTCTGGATTAAAAAGTAATGTTTCCATTTTAGTTATAAAAATATAATAAAATATACACTTAAATTTTGGAAATGCATAAATAATACTGCAAAAGACTTCCAATTGCTCTATAACATTCAACATGTAGTAATATTAATTATAATACAGGCTCACAAAGCAAATATCATATCCAAAACACAGAGTATGTTGGAACTGTTGGAAAATATTATAAGTTTTATAAAGGAATTTTACATGCAGGCATATACATTCATACATGGATGAGCTGCAAATTATATAGCAATAATTTTCTGTGTGGTAAGCACCTAGTGTATTACCCTTCTCCTTTCCATCCTGCAATATTCATCTCAGGCAATTAACTCTTAGACTATTATTATGTAAAACCAGAATTTAAAATATTTGGATGCTTCTTTTAAGGGATATACCTTCTTAAGATGGTTCCACAACTTAATATAATTGTATATTTGCAAAATAAACAAGCCAGTTTATAACCCCATATATCCTTACCCAAATTTTCAAACATCTGTAATTTGTATGTGCATGAAAATTAACACAACACTGGTATGTATTTTGCAGAACACATGAAAGAAAAAGAAACAAATTATGATGTACCTTTAAAAAGTAAAGGTGATAAATAAGCAGCTGAAAGCAAACTTGAAATTAAAATATAAGTATGATAAAACTGCCATGTTCTTCCTGCTTCTGATTATATGCAAACAATTAAACTGGAATAAATATGTGCCTGATTTTGAAATACTTCACTGCAAGGCTAATATTGAATATTACATGAATGCAGACAGCATTCAGGAAAAAAAGCATATGTGAAATGAGAACGCCTTCGGGGGTTCATAAAAACAAAGGATAAAATCATTTACACACATCTATTAAATACCCAATCTTCTCCTTTTCTTTCTCATTTAAATATGGAGTCCACAGGGAACAATTGTGTGGCATCTGGCTGGGTATTGTCAAAGGCTTTCCTTTGCATTGTGTGTATGCTTGCTTTCCTATGCATTGTAAATATGCAAGATCTATTAAATATGATAAAGATTACTTGGCAATCAGTATCCTCAGAATTTCAGCCTTAACTGGAAGTCAGCATCTAAGAATGCAGCGAGGCTCCTTATGTGGGTAAATATGAATAGGATTTGGCATAAAAAGGAAACTACAGACATAATGCACTTAATTACATTACAGGATGAGTACGGGTAGTCCTCGACTTACAACGGTTCATTTAGAGACCGTTCAAAGTTGCAACAGCACTAAAAAAAGTGACGTATGACCATTTTTCACACTTATGACCATTGCAGCATCCCCATGTTCATGTGATCAAAAGTCAGAGGCTTGGCAACTGACTCATACTTATGACAGTTGCAGTGCCTCGGGGGGGTCATCTGATTCCCTTTTGTGACCATCTGACAAGCAAAGTCAATGGGGAAGCTTAACAACTGTGTTACTAACTTAACAACTGCAGCGATTCGCTTAACAAATGTGGCAAGAAAAGTCATAAAACAGGGCAAAACTCACTTAACGAATGTCTCGCTTAGCAGCAGAAATTTCGGGCTCAGTTGTGCTCGTAAGTGGATGATTACCTGTAATCTATTGTTTCGCTATTGTAAAATGCGGGCAAGAGGTTTTTTTGGATTTGTATGCAGTGTGCACACAAATGAAAGAGAAGCTAAACAGATTCACTGAAGAAAGCAAAGCAAAAGAATAATTTTAATAATTTCAACTATGGCATAGACACAAAACATTTACAGGTGGAACAATGAAAGAAGATTCTGCAACATTCCATACAGCTAGTTCTCGAATTATAACTGGCTGCTTAATGGCTGTTCAAAGTTATGCCAGACCTCTCCGGAGCTATTTATAACCTGATTTGAAATTATGATGGCTGCTGCACACACCCCACCCCACCCCACAGTCACGTGATTTCATTTTGGACACTTGGCAATCAGCTGACCCTACAGCCATTTGCAATGTCCTGTCCTCATCTGACTGTGATTTGGAATGGTTTTTCCCCCCTGGATTCTGGCATTTATTTCCAATTTCTGGCAAAAAGTGCCCATTGGGGAAAATGGATTTTCTTAATGACTGTGGTGTTCACTTAACGACAGGTGCAAAAATGTGGTCACGTGATGTCTCAACTTACAGTCTCAGTGACTTACAACCATAATTCTGGGCTCAGTTACAGTCATAAGTCAAGGACTGCCTGTTGAGGAGTGTAAATAGAATTTCACACCCCCATGGCATCTGGGAGCCCCTTATCCTTCACAAAGGTGATCATGGTCCCAGCTAGTTATAGCAGCTTTCCTAAACAGGCCTATAGTAAAGCTCCTCTCAAGGTAGCTTATATCTAGCTACCTTATACCTCTTGCAGTTACTCATACTTCTAATAAATTACATTAGCTGTTTATCTTTTCTTGCCGAAAAGTGATCAAAATCTGTATGAGGCAGTACCAGCTCACTCATCACATTCTCCCTACTAGGTGACTGGCTTTGGCAAAGTAGTTTTGAAATAAAAAAATTAGCACTCTTGAGCTTAACTGCCTGAGGATTATGAGGAGTAAACTGGTGGAGAAGTGAAAGGAAGAGACTTATTTTTCAAAAGATCCTACTTTGCTCTGCCATGCACAGGAATTACAAAAGAGAAGCTATTTTATACAAGAAAGAAAAAGAGCACAAATCCTCCTTGGTGTTACAATGATTTTCTGAAGCAGCAGTACATCTATATTATTGTTTTGTGGTTTGAAATTGTTTTTTTATATTTTAATCTGATTTGTATTTTGCTATTAGCCGCCCAGAATTCATTTAGAGTAGGAGTATATTATGATTGCTGTTAAATAAATGAAATCTTAAATACAGCAGCTAAAAGTTAGTAAGAAACATGAAGCTGTCTAGTTAAGTAAAAGAATTTATGATCTGATAAAGTATAACCGACCTTTTATATTCATATATCTGGACCTTGTCAGGCAAGTAGGAAATTATTTGACTATCTAGTACCCACAGACACTTGTCTTAGCAAATAGGTGCCACAACTCATTGCTTGGTGTTATACTTTTCCATGGCTTTTAAAAGTCTTGCATTTAAAATGCCACATCGAGTCAGGCAAATTATAATTGAATGCAATTAGGACTGCTGCAAGCTACAATCTTCTTTCATTCCAGCTGAGTGAGATACAAGAAGATCTGAAATGACTGGGGGGCTTTCAAGACATCATTTCTCATTTATTTCTGTCCATCTATTTCTATTTCTGCCCCTCTACTTCTGTCAAAGCATTACTAATCCTGAAATCTGAAAGGTCAAAGTGCAACACTATCCATTATTGACATTCAGGGTGATTGGTCACCTGTTGTTTTTATAGTACCAAAAATCAAGCCATAAGGTTGGGATCTTTCTGATGCTTACATATAGAAGCATCTAATGTTCTTTATGAACAGAATAAATTTCAGTCAAAGGAAAAGTGCTGTGGTCATGGAAAGAGTCACATAAATGCAGTTCTTTTTCTATGAACACAAACTATCTTCAATCCCTGCTTGAAAAAAGTTAACATGGTTTTAGCTCTTGATACTTACTACTGCTACCATGAAAAGAATTTGCAATATATCCAACTCAAAACATAGCTGCAAAACTGCATATTGTGTCAACGCAGCTTCAGTTTGGGATTATTAATTTGCTAGATATGACTAATGTTTGCTCACTGTACTTTTACACAGAGCCCGAGAAAGAAAAATTAATGAAGACCACAGAAACCCAAAAGAAAAAGGGTAAAGAAATATATTTTTAAAGTTTTAAGACTTTTTCAGTTTATTTTCGGATTGCCAAAGTAGTGAAGAAATTCTTTTCAAGCCCACAGAGTTAACAAAAAGAGTGGAAAAACTTGTGGAAGGAAATAATAATGATTGGTTCTGTTTACTTGATCTAGCTATATATAGTCTTGTTACATTAAATGAAGGTTTAAAAGCACCCAGAAATGTGTGTTTGTGTGTAGGGGGGCGGTTTAAAGAAAAAATGCAAAACAAAATGAATGAACGAATGAATGTTTTTATAGATATCTCAAAAGAAAAAGTGAAGCCTCCTATTGCTGTCAAAGGAAAAGGTAAACATCATTTCTAAGATCTTATTCTTTTTTGTAACTAGGACCATTGTAGGATTTCACAAATGTTTTTGTTGATGCTAAAGTGATTTAAGATAGTTATATGAGAAACATTACATATAATGTTATAGAATGGACTTAGTATTGACATTGAACAAAAGAAGGTCCTTAATTTACCACTGTCCTCTTTTTTGGTGTTAACTTTGGTTCACTTTCATCTAATGGCTCTTCCACATACTGAATTTGCAGCACTCCCATTTGGATCTGAACCCTTCCAGTCCCATCTTCTTATGATTTCTATTGGTAGCTTGGCTGATTTACTTCCAACTCTGCTGCAGTAGTAGTAGGTCTGAAGTGGGTTTTCAGCTGGAAAAATAGGATATTTATGGTGGGCTTGGAGGGAACTTTTGCATTATTCTCTAATTGCTTTCTGATCAACAGCTACTTAACAAGTCCTATGCAGTAAATGCTATCTTAGCAGTTTCACATTTTAGACGTTTCATAAATTGATTAAATCAATTTATATGGCCTTGCAAATTGTGACTCTGCTTGGCTAATTTAGAGTTAAAACAAAACAAAAAAAAACCAAAGAAACCAAGCAAAAATAAGAAAGACAATAAACATTGAAGTGTACTCAAGCCTAACCACAATCAAAATCCCAATCATTACAAAACTCTTGTACTATCCTGCCTCAATGCCAGGGGAACTTAGCTGAGCTCCCCTCACTTCACTGGCTTAACTGAAGAGAGGGGAGGTGAAACTTCCTTCCTTCCTTCCTTCCTTCCTTCCTTCCTTCCTTCCTTTTAAATTTTTATGCCTCCCATTTCCCTAGGTCTATCAGGTTCTCCTCCTCCTCCTCCTCCTCCTCCTCCTCCTCCTCCGCTTCAGGAGCTTGAGGCAGGGCAATGATTTTTGCTTCTTGTTCTTAGTGTTGTAAGGTCTATAACACTGAACACAATGGTGGGTTGGTTTCAAATTGTTTTTGAAAAATAGCAAGATAGAAACCTTGATGGAGTCAGTTAGTTTTTACCTACCTACATGAACTGTTGATTTTCAATCCCAGTCACCTACCACATTTATACTGTATATATACTAGACAACCTGTTTCCCAATGGGTCATTGTTTCAGATAGTTTTTTTTTACTTAAACAGAGGAGCAGAATGACCACCAGTAGGCAAAAAAAACAACAACAGTGGGAGCAGGAGCAACTTTCAACTTCCTGCCAGCTTTCCCATTGAATTTCCTTGTGGGAAGCTGGCAGAGAGCATTGGAAATCTTTCTTCCTTCAATTCCCTTGAGGAAGTGAGGGACTGTAAGTGGAGCACTAGCCTGGCAGCTGAAGCTGTCATAACTTTCCCAAATTTTATTCCTTAGGGAATCATGGGTCCTGGATTTTGGACCCATTTTGTATGTTAGCTTCTTTCAGGTACCTTTGTTTAATAACAATAACAGTGACATGTTGCCCTATGCTGCACTGTTTTGCCAGTTAAAGGTCATACAAACAAGAGTTTTAGTAGTATATAGATATTGGATTTCATTTTCACAGATCAAAAGCATAACAGTAAAATCATAGAATCTTTTAAAATTGGCTAAATTATATCTCTAACCGTTGTAATGAACTGTGATTTTATGATAAAGAGAGCCTTTTTTAATGCTAAATGTCTGCAAAGCTATGAACTTTGATAATACCAATCCTCCAGTACGTATATAATGAAAAAGGGATAGACATTCATAATATGATATTGCTTTATTCACCTTAATTGTCTGGCTTGTTTAATTCCTGATTCAGCACACGTGCTAACCCTTGTGTTACTGTTGCAAAAATATTGTGATTATAGCTTTTAAAATGGGGACTGACACATTTCTACTCAAGGCAAGGAAAGACATGCTTAAATTTGCACTTTGCAAGCTAAGAAAATTGTATTTTTCAGAGGCAGCAAAATCAAATGATGCAAAGCTTCCCATTGCTGAGAAAAAGAAAGGTAAGTATATTATTATATTAATCAAATATCAAATTCTTGCATTTGCTTTCCTTCTCTTCAAATTAAAGGAGACTTTCCCCCTCAGAATACATGAATTTTAAATGACTGGTGTAGAAATGCAAGCAAGATTTTGTTCACAGTTTATGATTATAATAACACCTAAATTTACCTGATCCAATCTCAAGAGAGTATGTCAGAGGTTGCTAAAGACCATATCAAAGTAAACTCATGTTTTACACTCTTTGAAGCTCTTCTAAAAATTGGATCTGGGGGAAAATGGCTAGCTTTTTCTATGCAGTGTTTGTATAAAATTGGAGTCACCATACCAATGAAAATTCCTCTAGTCAGCTGAGAAAGGGAAGATCTGATGAATGAATGAAATCAACCTGTATTGTATCTGTATACATGGTCCTCTGTATCTATTGTTTCAAATATCAGTGAAGCAAGCTCTCATGCTTATGATTATATGTTCAATTTTATGTAGTGTCTGTGATTTGGGGGAAGGAGAGAGATGGTTGAGGCCACAAATGTTGAGCAAATCAGTCATGTAATATGTGTGCAATTTTCTGTTATTGTTTAGTGCTGCCCATAAGGTTGGATCAGAGATTCAATGAAGCTGTCTGTTATTTTATGTGGTGCACTTTATATAATACAAATTGATCATTCTTTACAGCAAACATGCCCTTGATTCTTAGTGTGCATGTCAGGACATTGATGTTTTGTCAAAAAAAGTATAACTGCTATGTCTAAATCAGTTGCAAGTGTCCCTACAGCTTGAGGCTTTGCTAGTCTTCTCATTCTTTTTTCATAATAGTAAGTGGCATGACACATAGCTCCCATGACACAAGGTTTGAGAAAAGTCACAGCAAAAACCTCCAACAACCTCAGTCTAGTGATTCATATTTTCCTTTGATATTTACTCCATTGAACAATAACAAAATTTTATTTTGGCATTCTTGTTGAGAGTTAAGGTTTTTCATGATTTGAGTGGTATCTCTCTCTTGCATTCGGGATCATCAATATTCTACATAGAGCATCACAGTATGCATCCATTTAATATGTTAAATTTTCTCCACAAGTTGATCACTTAATTACCTGTGGAGATCACAGAACAAATTAAAAGAAGAAGAAAAGCATCTATTAGTTTAATAAAAATTATTAACAAGCAAAATCAGTGGGGAAGCCAGCAGGAAATCCGATTTCTACTGCTTTTTTGTCCATCCATGGCAATTCTGTTTATTGGTTTAGGTAAGGAAATATCTCTGAAATTATGACCCAATGGGTCATGGGTTGTCTAGTTCTTGTTTGTAGATAGTACAATATGACAGGAGAGGAGGAAGATGGGGTTTTTTTCTACATCTCTTGCTGGGCCTGCATGTGGAAACTATTTAGGCCAAACACATGGAAGTCTATTGTTGCAGGATGATTAACTAGCAGTAACACTCTCTTACCGATTCTTGATTTTGCCTGACACCCTACTTCTGCTTTTACCTCCTGCCTCAGAAGATAAGAAAGCCCTCTCTCTATGCTACTTGCCAATCCAGGTTTCATTGCTTTCAGCAAGTAATATTTGTTAGATATTGGGAGAATTCTTTGTCAATGGAAAGTGGGCTAAATATAACATGAATATATTGTGTTATAATAAATAAGTAAATAAGCAAACTAATATTCCTTTCTGTATCTTTTTAAAATATATTGCAAGAGAACTATCTCTAGAAAGTTAGCATAAATGTTTTGAGGGTCTAAAGTCCAAAATACGTCATAGTCAATACATAACCAAACTTCCCAAATCCTCCAGTCCTAAATCTGAAGATAGGCAAGAAGATAAGAGAGCCATGTTTCCTGGGAACAGAAGTTCACTCAGATCTGTTCGGATGAATAGGTTTTTCTAGCTACTCAATAGGCCTATGTTTCCTTTACCTTTTTTTTTTAAAGTGCTCTGAAGGATTGAGGCACTGTCCAGAAAATCACAAGACAACATGCTGGGGTTCACAGATGGAACAAGGACTTGGCAAACATTTTCTTCTTTGAGGGGTCCTTGGTGCTCTCTGAGCTTGGTTGAACTCAGAGCCAAGCTCAGAGCTTGAACTGAGTTCAGAGTACACCAAAGCCCCTTCATTTCAACTCTGAGCTACAAATATTCTTCTTTATTTTTTTCTTCCACTGCCTCACCAGGTACAGCCAGGTACGCTGGCTGAGGAATTCTGGGAGTTGAAGTCCACAAGTCATAAAAGGGCCAAGTTTGAAGACCCCTGATCTATTGGGTAGTGTTACTTACTTGAATAGTGTCCACCTGAGCCTGCTATGGATTATTTATTCACTGTCCTTCTCTATCCCTTTCCAGATACTACTACTACTGAGTATTGGTCCATGATTAGAAATAAGTGGTGCTCTGAAACATTTCAGTTCAACTATTGCCATTTCCCAATAAAGTGCTCAGGAGTGATCTCTCTTCAGAAACCCAATTACTAGTTGGAGGTGAAAAGGCAGAGATAGTCTACTCAATTGTATGGCAGTATTCCTTTTTGTTTGCTCATTTCCCCCATCTTTTCATAAGAGCTGTGGGCCCAATTTCCTTATGTCTTCTAGCGATCGTTCATTGGTGTTTTTTTTTATCTCTGTAGTCTGCAAAAAGTGAGGCAAGTGTGCATTTAAAAAAAAACCACATTTTTTTTCAATCCAAATTTATCCGTTTTTAATAATGGAAATGTCCATGTAGTCGAGGCTGTTCACAAAATACTGCATTGCTGTTTCAGTGTTTCAGATGTCCTTCCTTGCACTGCTATGAAGCCCAATGGTATCTTTGCAATTGATAGCCTGATAGATAAAACGTATCATGCTTTCTAAATGTGGATGTTTTAAATAGCACTGTTTGATATTCTCATTCATGCTGACTTGCATGCTGCAGCTGCCAAGCACACCAGGCAACCTTTTCCAATTACGTTTCCTTATTTAAATACCCACTTAACCCGAAGCAAAACAAAATAATAGGACAGGGGTTGAAAGAGGCAATGAAATAAGGAATAAAGATCAAGAGAAGCTGAGATGTCAAACAAAACCCTCACCCAAAGACTGTAGTATGCCTGCAGTTCAGCTGTGAAGCAGGCTGATAGTGCAATCTTATACGCAGCTGCTCTATGTTATGAGTCTGCGGTCCATGTGATCTGGATCTTCATGGTGGAGTGTTACAGCTTGTGTAGGAGTGTTCTTAGGTAAAGCCTAGCTGTTGCATAGAGATGTTCTCTTTGCTGTCTTTACTAGGACAACTAAGGAAGAAATTGGTTGTGTGTTGGATTATATACATGACTGAATGTCAGCCTGAATATGTAGACTAGATCAGACAAGAACTGTGGCCAGATGAGCTAATTCTATTTGTAAGGCTACATTAACAAATCATGCAAGTCTGAATGTTATAAATCTCTCATGGCCTCCTTTTACAGTGTGATAAGTTGGGGAGAATGTTTTCTGAGTTTATTTCTCTCAGTTTATGCATCTGAGAGCTCTACCAATTCTTATCTACCTAGGCAAGCATCTTGTAGCTCCCCCAAGGTCATTCCCACATACCATTACATCAAGCAAGGCTAGCGAGTCTGTATATTATTTACTCTATTGTAACTCAATATGATGTTACCAGATGGTGATGTAAAAAAACAAAAAAAAACTGAGGAGCAATGGGGAGGAAATATGGATATGTGAGTTCATTCTTTTATTTTTTTTTCAATGGGTTATTAGCTCAATTTTCAGTCTGATTTATAGCTTTAAATAATCTTCAAACTATTAGAGATGACGTAAAAGTGTTTTTTTCCCCCTTGAGACTATTCTACAGTACAGTATAGCAAAGTTAAGAAATACATTCAAAATCAAGATGGGCTGACAATCTTGACTTTAAAAAGAAAGTTATTTTTTTCTTTTTCTTTAGAAATTGACATTAAAAAGGGGGAAAGCCCAGCTAAAACAGGTAACTAACTGATTCTAAGTAACTTGGATTAGAAGTGTTTGTTGCAGATTTTCTTAATACTTTGGATACTGCTATCCAATTCTTTGGATAGTGCTCAACCTGAGAAACTTAATTTCAGTTGCCAAAGTCGCTAATTTTTAATTATTCTTTCATTTCTATTAATAACGACTATGAGCTATGTTCTCTTAGCATTAATAGGACACCTTTAAAATTCTCATTAATAGTTGACTTAAAGTACAATTGTCTAAAATCCCTCTTTAATAATTTTATAATTGTCTAAAACTCTGAATTAAATAACGAGGTTTACTATATTCAATTTGTACCATAAAAGTTGTGATATCATAATGTTAAATGAGAAATATTTTGACAAAAATATTGTTTATTTTTTAAAACTTTCCACTACTTGTAACTTGTTTTTAAACCCTGTACAATCAGGCAATGCGGTGCACAAACTGGTCATACAAAAGTTCCCATTTCTTTTATTTTATGAAAGCAGAATTGTTTTATAGCTACAAACTGCTGAAGATAGTAATTGGTGAAGAAATATTTATTGGTACCTTGGCTGTTACATTTAATATGTTATAAAATCTTTCTTTGCTATATATACATATTTAATAAATTAATAAATAGTTCTTCCAATCAAATGGCTTTGGATCAAGGAGAAATTACAGTTTTACACTTTTGGAGAGCACATGATCGGAGAAGACTGCTGTAATAAATAAACTGACTGATAGGTGGATAGATTTCAAAGAAAGCGATTGTAATTTCTTATATCTGATTTACATTTTTTTTAGCCTCAAGCATGATAAAACAAACCAAGAATATTTATCATCCTGCCATTACAGGTATGGTTTTGTCTATTGCTGTTTCTTTAAACACTAATTTGCTATTTTTCATTTTTAATTCATTATTAGTGACCTAGAGTCGCAATAGCAAGATATCTAGCCATATGATAGATAGATGATAGATAGATAGATAGATAGATAGATAGATAGATAGATAGATAGATAGATAGATAGATAGATAGATAGATAGATAAATAGATAGACAGACAGACAGACAGACAGACAGACAGACAGACAGACAGACAGACAGACAGACAGAGAGACAGGCAGCAATAGCAATAGCACTTAGACTTATATACCATTTCATAATGCTTTATAGCCCTCTCTAAGTGGTTTACAGACTCAGCATATTGCTCCCAACAATCTGGGTCCTTATTTTACCAACCTCAGAAGGTTGGAATGCTGAGTCAACCTTGACCCGGTAAGAACTGAATTGTCGGACTGCTGGCAGCCGGCAGTCAACAGAAATAGCCTGCAGTACTGCATTCTAACCACTGTGCCACAATGGCTCATGGTAGATAGAGATAGATAGATAGACAGACAGATATACTGTAGACCTAATGAGAGAGTACTTTTTTCATTTATACATATCTACTATGTTAACAGAATAGATACTGTAAAGCAGGGGTCACCAACCTGTGGTCCGTGGCCCACTACCGGGCCGTGGGCTATTGGCCACTGGGCCAAGTGAGTGGCTGGCCAGTGCAGGTGCGTGTGTGTGCTTGCATCCCTTCACTTGCACTAGCATCACAGTGTCGTGTGGGCACTAGCAATGCCGTGTCGTGTGGGCGCCAGCATCGCCACGAGCACACACACCCCACTCGCGCTAGCATTGTGGTATCATGCCAGCACTATCATCGCTGCAAGCACAACATCCCCACTCGTACTAGCATCATCACATTGCATGGGTGCTAGTGTCACCCGAACATTGCACAGGTGCTTATGGCTCCGTTTGGTTGCGTGCACAATCACGGCCCCCATTCATGTGCATGTGGACCCATTTGCATGGGTGTGTGCTCACATGCATAAAGGTGCCTCCACCACCACCCCACCCCAGACCGCCAACCCAGAAAGGTTGGGGACCCCTGCTGTAAAAAAAATAAGAATTGTGTACTGCATATGGGAAATCCCCCAGGGCTTTCTAGAACAATTTGTGTGCAAACTAACTATTTCTCCTATTGAGTACTATACTCAGAGGCATCCATAGGATCCCACACTTTCATCAAAATGACAAAAGGAGGGTTGTACCATGCAATGCAAGGTCTGCTCCTTTCATACATGCATGCAATGTCACCACCGTAGCATACAAAAGCATAAAACCTGTTGTTATATCAGAATAAAGCTCACATCTCTCACTATATTATGGTGACAGGAATGAAAGGAAGTGTTTATTGGGGGAGGGGGAGACACTCCAAGACTCAAAGACATGAGATTGCTATCATTTAATCGCTGTGTGAGGGCTCCACAAATGTAACGCATTAAACTGAATGTAGCCCATTGATTGTGTATGCTGGTCCAGTAAAGCCTAAATTAAATTCCATGATATTGCCCTATTCAGGGAGAATGGAGATGCCAGGAGCATCCTAACTTGATGTTAGGGATTATATTGTAGAGATCAAAACCAATGGATAACAAAAGTGCCACTGTTTCTCTCAGGTTAGAAAATAAAGTGGATGGAAACCACAGTAACATCTTGAAAATGTTGCATTAATCCATGTTTAATGATATATTTAAGATACCTTTCTTTACAGTGTATGCAAATTACTGAACATTGAGTGCTAGTTTTGAAATTAACCAATACAGTACAAGATAATTTATTCTCTTGATCTTGCCAATTTCACTTGTAATTTCTAGCTAGGAAATTTACTGGAGATGCTTTTGTTAATACATAAATGTTCCTCCGAAAGAAGGTACTATGCCTCATTGTTTAAAGGACATAATTATTAGGCCTCTGCTTATGGATGCCTTTTTGTCTTCGCCAGAATTTTTATATAGCACATGCATTTAGCATCACACTGACCCTTGGAAAGAATGTATTATGCCTGTGTTAAAAGCATTAAAAGGCTGCCAATTTACTTCTAGTTTTGGTACAAGATGCTAGATATTACCTTTAAAAGCCCACATGGCTTAACAAGCTACTTCATTCATTGAGATGGCCTCGTAATGTTTGGAAATCTACAGTTGCTGAAAGCTCATCTTGAGGTGACTTGGAGTCAAGCTTTTTTGATCATTATCTGGAAGGTGTTCCCTAATGAGCTGAGAAGACAGATCTCTTTGCTTTTTTTCTTTTTTTAAAAAAAAAAGCCCTTTAAAATATGGTACTTTTTAACAGGCTTTTTGATTATTTAAATTTTGGTTTTCATTTTTAAACTTCGGGTGTTCTTATTGAAGAGCATCAAAAGGCTTCAAGAGCCAACAGTATCAAAGGTATATAAAGTAACTAATACATCAAAGAAATAAAACCACAGCCAAGACTTCAGAAAGAATAAAGCTATTAATGGCTCCTAATCATTTGTCTATAGGTTATATCCAATATCAGAGGCAGGATGTTTCGGAAAACCCAGGTCCTGGGTAATAAAGCTGGTGAGATGCTGTGGAAACAAAATGCTGAGCTAGATAGCCCCCTTATCTGTTCTGACAACAGATATTGTTTATATTCTTTTCTTCGTCATTTTTTGGGGCTTTTTGCTCAGCATAATTAATGATTCTAAACTGATTGTTTTCTTCTTGCCACTATATACATATATTACTTCGTGATTTTTTTCCCCTTTTCCTCTCTTTTGTGTATGTGCATATGAATGGACATTCATTCTCTTGCATATTCTATTAAATGGCTATTTTTTAGAGTTGGCGTGTTCCTGGAAAAATCAGGAAATATTTTCTGGCACTATGGTTCGCTTGCTTGAACAATTTTCATTTGGAAACATGGTCTGTGGCCCATTTGCATACACATACAAAAAAGATTATATAATTAATACTCTCTTGGCATTCCAGAAAGAAGAGCCAACTCATTAAAACTATAAAATGATCATAAAGAACAGTGACAGGTGATACCAAAAGAAGAACCAAAATAAATAGTGTCCAAAATTAATGTGTCCAGAAGAACTGCTTATTTTGAGATAGGAGCATGCTTCTTAAATATATGCCTAGGAATTTTGACTTTTACAAGTCCTTCTGATGTAACTAGAATAAAGGCTTATATTGTAGTAGACAACAAAAGTAGGGATTTCCTGAACTCTGCCTGTGCTTTCTCAAATGATGGCACTGAACCACTACCAGTAATCTGCGCTCCATGAAACAATACCTTTGAGGCAGATTCTACTAATTACATCATATACTCATCTCTTCTTTTAGCACTGCAGTAGTCCCAGACCACAGCCAAAATTTTTTTATTATTGTGAAAAGGAATGCTGTACAGGTAGTCCTTGACTTATGAATGGTCACTTAATGATCGTTCGAAGTTACAGTGGAGGTCTCCAGGGCTACTTACAACCTGGATTTGAAGCTCTAACCACTACCCTTCCCTGCAGTCCCAGGTGATCACATTTTGGGCACTCAGCAACAAGTCCTCATTTACATCAGTTTGTAGTAGCCTGCAGTGGCCTGCCCACAGTTTACGTTGGTTTTTTTTTGCCAGAAACAGGCATTTACTTCCGGTTTCTGGCAAAAAAAATGGCCCATTGCAGACAAAGGATTCACTTAACAACTGCAGTGGTCGCTTAAACACCACCATGTTTGCTTTAGGACCACTGCATTTATTAACAATCACTACAAGCAAGATTGTAAAATTAGGTGTGGTCACATGGTGACCTGCTTAATGACTGGCATGATTTATAACACTAATTCCAGGCTCAGTTATGGCCATAAATTGAGGACTACCTGTAAATGAAGTATTTTCATGTTTATTCATCTGCTTACCTGGTGGGTAGCAACAAACAAACAACAGTGCAAAACGGTAGCAGATTCTCCCCTTACCCATTATTGAATGTGTGCTCTAAACATGACTCAATATAAATATTGATTGGCATATTTCCTCCCTTGTTACACAAGAATATCCCTAAAGGACATGGTGCCTGTGCTCTCATTGTCCTGTTGAATTTCAGAACACTCTTTCATGATTTCATAGCAACTATGGGTGTCTATCTTAAACAGCGTCTATCTCAATCCTTCCTCAAGGCATCTGAGATTGCTTTTTCTGTGTCTAATGAGGGGATGATGACCTGAGTGTGGAAGAATTTCCTCCAATTCCATTATCTTTAATTAATTTCTAATTTATGTTATTTAGATTGATTGAGTCTAAAGTAGGGGACCATTTCAAGAAAAAATCGAAATGTCTTTCTGAGATCTCTTACAATTATCTTGCTATCATGACAGGCAATTGTGTCAATGTCTAGAAGAGTTCTACAAAAAGGAAAAAAAACAGGGCAATTGACATGGTTGTTCCTTAATGTCCTCCCCAAACAATAGTGCCACTTAGTTTCCTGCTTTTTTAAGATAATGGCAATGAAACAATTAAGGTGATTGATACATTGATATTAGCATAAAATTTAGAATAAATCCATTGGAGAGATGAGAGCTAACATACGTCTCCTTGATCATCGTGTTATGAAGTCTGTGAAATTGGGGGGAAGACTGAATAAGGGATAGGAGCAACAGCAAATGCTTCTTTGAAACAAAGTGTTAATCTATGCATAGAGAGGACTTCCGGTGGCAGGCGATTTCGTCGGTCGCAGCTGTTTGCTGCCTCCCGCCTGTTTTGCGTAAAAGCCGGTTTGACAGCCAGCATCAGCTGTCAAACGGCTTGATACCTTTCCCCTGGGCATAAGGGGATAGGTGAGCTGCCCGGGGTAGGAGTTGAGTTCCCGAGTCGTCCTATATGGACGATGTAGGCG